TCACATTATATTATGTCATATTGTACATACGTATGTGCATATATATATAATATATATATATATAATATATATATATATTATATATTATATATGCATATATGCATATATGCGTATTATTTAGCTTTGTGCCATCCAGTCATAGAGCCTGGCAGCTTCTGGCCTACGCCCCTGGAACTGCGCTAACCGCGGCTGCAGATGCTGTTTGAAAGAAACACGTAGCCTCTCCCCCTTCCCCCTTTCATTGGGGATGCCGCAGCAGTGACCGACCGCTCTCCGAAGTCCGAGGCGCCGCCGTGTGTTCGGCCGGACACGAACCGCCGGCCGTCCGCCAGCCCTGACTGGACGACATGATGATGGAGCGTGGGTAGAGTGTGCGCCAAGGAAAAGTTATGGGGTCGGTCGGCGTCGCACTAAGTGGACCAAGGCGGACCCGAGTCTTTCGCGGATGCCGTAATCGGATAATGAGGGATAATGGCGCGGGTGAGAAAGCCACAGCGAGCTTTGGGCTGTTGAATACTCCCAGAGACCGATCAGACCACCGCGAAGCGGGCGGCTCCCTCGCCTCGCGCGGGGTCGGTGGTTTAGGCTATCTTTTCCCTGGCGGCTGTCGGGCGGAGATACTTGTACAACCTATGCGACTTATGTATATATTATATATATATATATATATATAATATATATAGCACAACGTGCGCTTCTTAGCGCTTTAGATGCATCATGATGCTTCCTGCGATTGATGGCTGCAACTCCGGAAAGGTATTATCTCCAGGAGAAACCAAGTCCTATCTTTCAACAATTGTGCTTTTTCTGGACACCGGTGAAGCGCTTCTCGAGCGTTCTCGTGAACTGTCCAATCGTGAAAACCCAAGCTTCTGGATATTTTGGCGCAAAAAACCTAATGATGCATAGTTCTTCGGCATAACGTTCTATATTGGGAATATTTTAGAAGACCTGCAGCTGTTATAACTTATATCAGCCAAAACAACGGAGCGGTTTTTATCGACAAAACGCTTTGACCTCTGACCTTCCCATTGCACCTGACGTAGCCCTGTAAATAGCCCGACAGTGTCATCACCCACACAAAGTGTGTGGAGCAGCCGAGGGAACTTCAACAGTGCTCCCTCTGGAGTGTCACATACGTGTGGCCCTCCAGACTCCAACAGTGTGGCTCCTCTCAGAATTGTTACATACGTGTGACCTAACAGGATAGCGCTGCGCTTCCTTCAAAGCGACCTTGATCGATCGGCCCCATTGCCCGCTGCACCAACTATTGCCTCCAATGCCGTCCCCTCACTAAGTCCCTCCAGGGACTCCAAGCCACAGGGGCATCCGATCTCTCACCGGGTCTCTCCAGGGACGCCAAGCCGTCCATCCTCTTCACTGGGTCACTCCAGGGACGCCAGGCCGTCCGCTCTCTCGCTGGGTCCCTCCAGGGACCCGGGCCTCGCGTTCAGGCCGGAGGAGGATTGTCAGGTCGTACCTCCTCTTACAGAACGTGCCGAAAGCGGTTGCCGGCCGATGCGCAGTGCATACTACAAGGCGCCGTGGCCAGCAGCAACGTCAGAGGCACGATAAGCTTCAGGAGGAGCGGCGGACCATCACCGTCACCGGCACTGTCACAGGTGGGCACGGCGACGGTGCGCGGTGGCGCCGAGATTCTGGAACCAAGGCTTCGTGGCGAAAGTTGATGATTGGAATGATGACATTGGGGTAGACGACATTGTTTGAAATATTACAGGGGAGGGTGAGATGGAGCAGTAAGTTCAGAACACTTTGATTTAGGTAATACACATACAAATCCTTAGAAAAGCCGGCTGCTCACGAAAAAACCGAGTCAATCATATGACAAAGCGAAAAACTCAGCCCGTGATGTTGAAAGGACAGATTATAGACTCCAGTCTATGATGACGGTGATATAGATCGATAACAGGTAGAGTTCAGAAGACAAAACAGCGTTGAGGGAAAACCAATGGTAGGATGTGTTACGGGGCGGTGAGATTTCACACAGGATTTGTAACGAGACCCATTCCTTTCGCACAACCAGCGCTTTCTCAGGCGTTAGCCTCTGCGGCGCATCCCACATGAACCTCAAGCTCCACACCGACGAACGCTAGATATTCTCCCAGCTCGCGGGATGTGCTGTTTCCAAATACCGACAGCCTGTGAGGCCCAGCTTGGAAGCGGTGCAGCTCGGCATCTAAGCTAGTCCATATAGATCCAACGTGTACACAAACGCGCAAGGTATGCAGAGTAACTCACTACGCAGCCTTTGTTTTGTGTTTACTTGAGCTTTAAGATATTACATCCAGCAAGCTACCCTGGATGAACGGATGTCAAGTTCTTTCACAGGCCATGGGGTGTCTCTGGATATCCCGCCGAAGTCCCGCGCATTGTCAGTGCACCACCAGTCCATTCCGCGATCGGGCCTGGTCTCAAGCTGACCCCCCTGGCTGACCCCCAGGACCCCTGGCCGATCCCTGGCTGACCCTGGCTGACCCCTAGCTGACCCTGACTGACCCCTGACTGACCCTTGACCCTTATCTGACCCCTAGCTGACTCTAGCTGACCCTAGCTGACTCCTGGCTGACCCCTGGCTGACCCCTGGCTGACCCCTGGCTGACCGGTGGAGTGCTTCTCCACGGGACTGAGTCCGGGCAAGCACGGCTTCCACGTGCACCAGGCGGGCAGCACGGCCAACGGCTGCAAGGCGGCCAAGGGACACTTCAACCCGCTCGGTGAGCCGGAGAGGCCGCCGTCCTGGCCGGCCGACACCGGTGACGTGGGCACATGGCGACAACGGCGTCGCCGTAACAGTGTAGTGTAGGCGGAAGGTGGGACGGGGCGGGGGTGAGGGAGAAGGGTTCACCGTGGCGTGTCGTTGAGCATGTTGGTGTGTGAGTCGAGCCCCTTTCGGTTGACGTTGATTTTCAGTGTTGAATAATCGGCTTGTGAATTCCTTGGGCAGGGTGATGTCGTCCGATTGATGCTAGCTGACTGCCTGCAATTCGCACTTGACATTAAACGCGATTTCTTTCCTGCGTCTCTGTTTGACTTGAGATTTGTTTTTCCAGATGATAGTTGACCTGATCTGACCTTTCTGCCCTCTGCGCATTTGCATTCTCTACCTGAATTTTGGGGTTCACTACACTGACGTGCCAAATGCTGACGTGACGGGCATGGGTCCGCCTCGGCAGCTGTTGATGTTAGCTACCCTACCCTAACTACCTCGGCTACCTCCTTTACCTACCCTAACTTGCTTCGGCTTGGCTCTTGCCATTGCCCGAGACTGACCTATCTAACCTTCAACGCGGGGTCTAGCACAGCCTAAGCTGCTTAGCTTAGCCTGAACTATCTCGCCCGGCCTGACATGGCCTGGTCTGCTTGGTCACATAACAACGCGACTTGACCTGACTTGACCTGGCCGGCAGGCAAAGCCCACGGCGCCCCGTCGTCGGCAGAACGTCACGTGGGTGACCTCGGCAACATCGTGGCCGACGCCAACCAGTTGGCCAACATCAAAATCAAAGGACAGCCGTCATACGGGTCAGGACGGACGGCAGCCCCTGGCCGGATAGGCGGAAGGGGCCTGGCAAACCAGGGGTCCCTCGTCTCAGATGTGCGGAGCGCGGTGTTTTACTGATTATTTCGGTAGTTGGTGGCGCGCGCATCAAATGCTGTTGAGCTTAAACAACGCGTAAAAATTAGCTCCCAAAAATCTACGCCAAGGTAGACAAAGCAAAGGACGCTAGATATCATTTGAGATGACAGCATACGACCATCGCTAAAATGAATATTCGTCCGCTACAGGCTTTGAGAAGTTTGCGGTTAGTACACAATTAGTCACAGGCAATGAAGTACTCATCAATGTGTGCAGTGAAGTCAGTGTTTACTGTTCGTTTTGCATTATCACCCCAGCGGCCAGCCGCAGTGATGTCACTGCTGGGCCACTCCCCTCCACAAGGTCAATATGCTGCAATGCGCCTCGTGAGCCCGCCATGGCAACGAGTGCGGCGTGCCGCACGGCGGCCAGCGTACACCCTCCCCCCAGTTTGACAGGTTTACAGTTGCACCCAGAAGTACGTGATGTACTCGCGCGCACGTAAATCCTCCATGCTTTTCTCGCGCTATTGTCGCGCACCATTTGTCGGTCGGCACCTAAGAGCGATCGCAATTGTTTATCGTTGCACTGTTTTGCTTACGTAGTGCCATTCCCGTGAATCGTTTTCCTTCTCGAGAATGCTGCTTTCTGGGACGGCACATTTATTTTCTCTGTCTGTTTCTTGATGCTTTTCGTGTTTCAAAGCAACTCAACTGCTATATTTATATTTTCTATGGTCTGTTTTAAAAGGATTCACTGGAAGATAAATGGTAAACCCTCAAATAATGCGGTGGTATATGTCCTGTCACGCATCGCAGTCTGCCGGTGAGGGTACACTCCTAAATAGTTTGATCATCATTCGCTACAGTTCGCAGTCTTCTGCTAAGGAAAACCATGGGTAGTCTGTTAACGCCACGTGATATCCGTATTTCGCTTGTAAACGTAAACCCCCGTGGTTTACATTTACATTTTATCCGCACGGTCCGTTACCACGCTGCCGTGTCCGCAGTTTGCCGGCGACGGCAACATCCTGGGTCGGGCGATCGTGATCCACGCCGGCGAGGACGACCTCGGTCTGGGAGGTCAGAGTGACAGCAAGACGACCGGCCACGCCGGGGCCCGGCTCGCGTGCTGCATCATCGGCGCCGTCAACTGAGCTGTGACGTCAGCGGGACGACGTGGCCGCGAGCGTGACGTCGTAGGAGCTGTGGACGGAGAGCGTTCCCCGCGGTCTCAGCGGCGGCTGGCGTGTTGTCATGACAACCGCGTGCTGACCGTTCGACGTTCTTCCTGGTCGACGATGGTCTTTTCCAAAGTGAGGACAAAGTGCGTGCGACTTCGGTACTTCAGCCGAAGGCGTGACGTCATTGGTTCCGGTCAGAGAGTGATGTTGATATGTCCTTGAACTCGGAGTGTGGATACCGCTGCCCGAGTTTGTGCCTTGCTTAGGGCCGTCAGCTGAATGTGTGAGTTCTCGAGTGTCCCCAGCTGGGCTGTGGCCCGTACGGAGGCGGCACAACCGATGGAGGCGACTGAAGAGCCCGGACTTGGTGGGAATGTCTTGGTCTGCGAATCTCTCGTCATTTTCTGACAGGAATTTTGGGCAAAGGCAGCTGCGACAAACTCTGGCTGCGATTTACACATGAGGAGAGATTTACGTCAACTACATTCCTTTCGTTATTCAACACAGTGACATGTCATTTGCTAAAGTTCGCGATGCCTGCGAAGTTGGCAATTGCACGTTGGGAATTGCACCAGAAAGCTAAATGAGTTTCGTCAGCAAGGATAGGGTATAATCCCAGGACGTCAGTTGCTGTCGAGCGCCTGGTGCACTGGTCACGGGCCCGAGACATGCTTTACGACAGGGCAGTTCCAGAGGGTGTGAATAGTAATCCCCGCGGAAGGTACATTCCGTCCAATTTTCAAGCTGAGGTTGTACCGCTAGCACTACGCTGTTGCATTCGCAGAGTCTGCTGTCAGCGCCGTAATTCGCGCATGAGGTGTTCAGATACGTTCAGACAATTGTTGACACACTTTTCAGACGTTTGAGTGACTGCCCTGGGCCTGTATGTTCAAATTTTGGTGGCTTTGTCGAAGGATTGAAGGGTGCAGGTCACGAAACAACTGGTTACGCACTCGTTACTAAAAAATAACTTCTTTTGTATTGAGATAGCCTCTGGAATGATTGGCAGGCTGCTGCCTTGTTAAACAGCATTGCTGACGCATATATTCGACATAGGCCATTGAAACCCAATTTAAGAGGTCATGGGAAAAATTGTATGACATCGTGGCGAAACACCCTAAAACAGAACACCGCCTTCCACGATGCTACCTCAGTTCCAATGCAAAGCCGCCTGCACTTTTCAAAATTCTTAATTCCGTGATACCATTTATCATCTCGGTGGAATGTGCCACTTTCGTGAGCCTGCTTCCAACGCCGCGCAGGGAAAGGAACAGTTTCGAAGCATTGACAGGAAATATTTTGTAAGCTAGAGCATACCTACTGTCGGTGAAAATGATGTGACAAACCGAGATGCACATTGAAAAGTGTATGCTTTGTCAAGATTTTATGACCGAACAGGCTCCTTTTCAAGGTTTACACACATGCATGAGTATTAGGAAGTGCGCGTAAGATTGTATCGCACCTGATGTCCTAGAGAAAGCGTGCATAACACTCACTGCCTGGTTAGAAGTCGAGGTATATTTCACAATGCAATTGGTAATCATTTACATTTTCTTTAGTGTTTTGGGTTTTTCGATGGTGCTCAGAACGCTATGTGCTTTTAATGTTCACAAACAACATTCCGTATTAATTTGTATATGGTTAAATATATCAAATTGTATATGGAAAAGCTATGTCTGTGAATATTGTAATTGTGCACAAAGTTTCGAATACATATGCGTATTTTCTGTTCGTTGTGGCGCAAAGCATCTAAGGACGATCTTACATGCAATACAAATACATGGATGTCTTGGTTCCCAAGGATCTGGTCATCGTAATCGACAGTTGCTCGGTTTGAATTCATGTAATCACTGATCAGATCACCTTGAGTGACAGTCTGAATGTAGATAACACAGTAGTTATGATTAAACTGTTGAGGCTTTATGGCGGTGCCTGCCTCTCATCTTGCCAGGATGACTGGACTCCGTGGAAAATCTAACCCCATACCTCTGCCTTCCCAGGCACGAAGAATACCGCTGCACTGTAACTGCTACACTTACGGTGCCATAAGGTCTCAATACGTCTGCAATGCCTTTGCGTTGAGGATTTGCTATTGACGCAACACGGGAATCTTGATAATACAGCAATCGATGGCCAAGTGACCTGATGCAATGCTTTTCAATTCCGTGTTTTGCTGACCACCACGTGCTTCTGACGTAATTGACAACGCGCAGAGAGCTGGTTCGTAACAAACTTCAACAACTGCAGTTGTATACAATAATTTGGACTCGCTGTGAGCAAGCGTCGCTCCGAAGCCATGCTGGCTGGCTATCCGATGCCCGTTTCCAACCAGTTCAAGCCTTGATCAGAGTGAGGGTAGACGTACAGGGTACAGGTACGGCATAGATGGCGCTGCGAATGCTCCACCAGGCGGCGAAGCTGCTGCATAACTACGCGCAACGGATTTACCACTACCTGATATTGCCCGCAACATGATTACTCATGGTCTCACTCATAACATAGACACAACCTGTTGGGCCACCTGGCCACGAAAAATCAAACGCATACTAGTAAAAGAAGAAGCATAATTTGACATGAGCCGGATGTGCGTGATACGCCAGGCCTTCACTGCCGCAATGCTCGCTTCTGCTCCAACTTCGAAAGCAGCAGTCTACGGCTCATTCTTTCCCCTAGTTTTCCTTGCAGTCGACTTCCACTAGGACATTTGTGGCTTCGCATGTTCTCAGTGCCGTTATCGCTGGTACAGCTGCAGAAGTCTAACGCAAGAGGGTCCGAGGAGCCCCTGACCAGTCTCGCAATGGGCGCGTTCCGCCGAGAGAAACGACAGATCTGTCTCCCACGCACCATGCGCAGTCAACGGTCATGACAATGCAAAAAAAACAAAAAAAAAAAAACAACAACAACAAAAAGAAGCAAATCGGTTCTGACCATGCCCTGAAAATTGTACGGAATCTTCCCTCAATACGGAAAATTATCCCAGACAATTGTCCGTGTTGGCAGCACCGAACACCACTCGGACAATTCTCTAACACTCCTCCGGATAATTTCCGAGATTATCTGCCGCCCCGAACGCACCCAATGTACCAAGAGATTTCGTCGTTTCATTCACCGTCCTTAAAGCCACGCTTCGCAGTGCACTTGCATCGGTATTTTGATGACAACTGTTTTATGGTTGCAAACGCCGGGGCTCAGAGTCATTGGCGACTAACACAGTGGTTAAAGCAAACAACGGATTTCGACGCGACGCTAACTAAACTATACACGTAATAAATATAGCTAGACCCAAGGCGAATAATGTGCCATGACAAATGACACAGTTGCCACACGAGGCTCAAAAAGTAGCAAAGTTTAGTATGGGCAGAAGGGCATTGCTTTTGGGATCAAACCTGTTGATAAATGTGGCCATTTACGCTTTGGGTCAAAACCGGTGGCACGTCTTCTTTGATGCAGACATATTGAAGACTGATGTGCAGCCATCTTTAACAAAATTTGTCCTTGTTTGCTTGCAACGAGTTAAAGCTTTGTTTAACTTCGTTTGGTGAGTTCACGTGGAGAGATTCACGCACCATCGGGAAATTCGATTCAAGTATGTTTTGAAAAATATGTAACAGGCTCTGACGTGTGCTGGCACAATTTCATTTAATTATGCTTTTGAAAATATGTGACACACTCTGACAAGCGTTGGCACTCTTGGCGTGTCCTTCCAGCGAAAAATAATTCATCAGATGATTTTCAAATATTAGTAATCTGAAACAATTCATCACATTGGGCCAAATGTCGTGCATTGCGTAGCCATAACATCTATAGTTACCATGATCACAGAGGTAATTGGGCTTTGGCTTGTCGGCATTGGGGCTATACAACGCACCCATTTGCCTGAGGCCTATGTGGCGTCGCCTGCCCCTCACCGAGGCGGAAGGTTCGCGGCACTGCGGGGAATCGAAAACCCGTGCCTCTGTTTCCCAGACGCGCAGTGGGTACCCGCCGACGCGTAACCATTACGCTATTGGCACCCCGGCTTAGGAACGTCAAGGGAAATCATAGAGTATCTCCTCTTGACATAATGCCAAAACTTAAAATCACGCTTTCTGAGATTTTAACCCGAGCCTTTTTAAAAGTAATAGATCTGTGGCAGCAGAGCTTACGCTAGGCAATGCTTATCATATGAGCCCGGACCCCCTACCATCCGATTCGACTATCCAGGTCAACGGCAAAACTTGGTAGCAAAAATTGGGGAGTGCCACAATGCTCGGCACAGTCCGTGCTGCTCTCTGAAGTTTACATGACCTTAAAACGTTTGGCTTGACGTTAAACCTTACCTTACCTAACGTTAAACCTTGAAATGTTAGCGTTTATGCGACGATCTTAGCTCAAATATTTGCATTAATAGCAACATATATCTGCTTGACCTCAATGATCTAGCTTACCAGCAAGGGTTCACAAATAGGTCAAAAAAGAAAAAAAAGTAGAATTAAATATATTAAACATTAGCAATACATTGCTCTTTCCCTGTCCACCCTCCTTGGTTCAGTATGGAAGATACCGGCAGTAAGACTATATACGCAACGTGCACTCTAATGCACATTCCCACTGTTAGCGATGTTTCCGTGACCTGATTGGCCACCCGTTGACCTTCACGCAAAGAATCTGACGTTTCCAGAATGTCATGTCAGCGAAGAATACAGGGCGCTTACAGCTATGTTTTGTTTTTCCGCTCAGATTGGAAGCTAAGTGGTGGGAACATTTTCTCTTATTTACGACACTGCCCGCTTAAGATTATTAAGGTTGCCTAAAAGTCATCTTTGATCTGGAACCAGAACCTCGGAAAATTTGGGTAGCTTGGACAGCCGGAAACACTTTCGTTTCTTTCCCCGAATGGGGATGAGAGGGAGAGGGGTCTGCCAGACCCCTCGCCGGGCCAGAGCATAAAAGCAGCTTCGTCAGGTGAGCGTTAAACATTTACATTTGCTTGTAACTCATCTACACGTTACGTGATGCGGCCATCCAGCGCACAGCGCAGTATGCTCATGCTGATGTTATGCTAAACTTACATGTTACGTAGATGTAAGCAGCTTGCTCAAGAAAGACTGCGCCTTCGTACTCCATTCAAAAGTGGATCAATCTGGTTGCATCAGACGGCACCAGGCGGATGCCCCGGTGGAGCAATTCATGCCTCAGGCAGGCGATTCCCGAACATTATTATATTGTGCTGTGTGTAGGTGTCAGGATAAGGTATTTGGTAATTGATTCTGTATAAGCCGTCACGCGTGCTTCACACGCCAGCGAATAGTGGTGCTTATCAGCAAGCATGCAGCAAAGCAGTCAAGCGGTCACAGGCAGCCAGCCATGCGGATGGCAGCCGCCGTCGACCGGCAGCAACCAAGCCAAAGAGGGGGGGGGGGGGGGGGGAGGGGAGGACGCCGGGAGCGGACGGGAGCAGCCAGGCCAAAGAGGGGGACGCCGGGAGCGGATGGGAGCAGCCAGGCCGGGAGGGAGGGAGGGGGGGGGGGGTGGTCTCCGATGGTGGAAGGGAGTAGCGGCCTGGGGAGGGGAGTATCTCAAAGAATGACTTTTATTCTAGGACGCGGTTTGTTCTTTTGCAAGAACAATAAAAATTTTGGAAATTTCGCCGAAGTTTGGGGCAGTACAAGCTATGTTATTGTATTTTTTAATGTTTTCCAACCCTGCCAGCATGCCGCATTGCAGCATGTTCCCTATTAAGCAGATGCTTTCCAATGACCCAAAGTGTCTCTCCATTCGCGGAATTTTGCCTCTCTAGAGGAAATGATGCTAACACGCATGCATATGTTGGGGGAAACTTGGTAGTTGTTGAATAATGAGGATGGGTCGAGAAAATACAATTGTGCATCAGGGGAAAGCGGCAGCAGGTGTTATAATATAATAGGGGAATACACTAGATACATACAATTCGTAGCCAAGGCATATCTTCCAAGATATGTTACGGATTAAGAGCAGATAAATTCGTTCCATCTCTTTCCGGTCCTACCCCCCCCCCCCCGCCCCCCCGATGGCTAAGTTGCCTACCCAGCAAACTTTATGTAAATGTATCCTGAGTCTCGTCCACAAGTTTTTCAAGCGTGCGTACCCTTGCACCAGCTGCAATATTTGATCAAAGCATACTTCATGAAATGCCGATATATTCACTGTTAAACAAGGAACACGCCAGTATAAGTTCCATGTTGTCCGCAATGCCGGCATCGTATATACTAACACGCACTGCTGAAGTAGTTCTATTTTCGAGGTAACGGTGTCAATACAGCTGAGTTATCGGAGCTATCTCTAGCCCAGAAACACAAACTTGTAATCAATCAGTGGGTTCTCGCTAAAATCCACAGCTCTTTTTTCGCGGGGCCGTATCAGTCTTGATTTGGAAATGTCAGGGGCTTGCGCCAGCCCTCCCGCTGTCCGTTTACGTTAGAAAAAACGGCGAATTCGAGCAAGGATTTATGGCGCTGCCAACACGCCACCAGTAGCACATTGATTGGCACGAAGCGATGGGGCTCGTGGCCTTCGAGCTGCGGTCACGATCCCCATTTACCCCGCTAAAGCGTCGGTTGGAAATGACTCTGGCGGCCCAGCGTCAGCCGTGGATCGTTCTGATGGCGCGTGCGGGCTGTCTGGCCTTCGCCCCAGCCGAGAACCGACGTCCATACGTCAGGTCAGCGGGTCAGTCGGTCCAGAGCCGGTGCCGTAGCCGGGGTGGGTG